TGACGAGCTAGTAGTAGTAGTAGTAGTAGTAGTAGTAGTAGTAGTGGTAGTGGTAGTAGTAGTAGTAGTAGTAGTAGTAGTAGTAGTAGTAGTAGTAGCAGTAGTAGTTGTCGTGGTGGGAGTAGTAGTAGTAGTAGTAGTAGTAGTAGTAGTAGTACCACCCGTGTGCGTAAATGGGCCCGGGGATTTCGCGCGCTTCCCCGAGTTGTGGGGCATGAATAATTACCGTTTTACCGTCAAGGTTCTGTTTGGCACGAGCGGAAGAAGACCGCCAGAGCATCCATGCCCAAACCCTTTTTAACCACGTAATTGCGTGCGATCACCGGAGCATCCATGCCCAAAACCTAACAATGTCCATTCCTAGTTGCATGTGATCACCGATCACCAAAACATCCATGCCCAATCCCTGAAAACGGCCATCAATCGCGTGCCATCACCAGAGCATCCATGGCAAAATCCGAAAATGGTCACGAACACGGTTTTTCGAACTCGAATCTTCGAAGTTCAAACGTATCAGTTGCATGACGAGGTTGGGTAGCTTGAGAATGTGAAAAGTTTAGAGAAAGGAAAGTTTAAAGTTCGAAGTCGACGTGCGCCGTGCGACGGACGCGAGAGGAAGAACGCAGGTGTCCGCAGGGCACCTCGCAGGCTAGAGCTTGAAAGTTTGAGCGGTTTGAGATTGAAAGTTGTCGGGAGTTTGAAAGCTCCAAAGACTAGAGTTCAGAGAGTTCGAAGGTTGAACGGTTGAAAGCTTGAATTCGTTAAACATCGAAAGTTTGAAACTTGGAATTACGCGGGGTTTGAGAGTTCGAACTCTTCTATGTTTACGAGTTTGAAAGTTCGGAGCACCAGGCAGATTGACAGTTTGAGTCAGAAAGTATGCAACTCGATGTTGTGTGTACGTACTATCCTCTGTTTAGGGTCTATGTCTTGAGTCTTTAGTATGGGAATTAGGGTTTGGAGTTCAGGGTGCAAAAATAGCCTAAACCCTCACCACCAAGAAGCAAGGTTCTATGTACCTTAATTCCAGAGGCGACGCAAGTTTGAGATATTGGATCGGTTGCCATGGCCTTATCAGGGGGCGGGTTTAAGATACGGGACCAAGCGATCGAATGATGAGGGGGTAGGTCTAAGACATGCAACATTTGGGATCGACCGCCATCGCTCAGTGAGGGGTCTGGTTTCGACTCGCACCCTTGCACTGGGATACGAAGTCAACCGCCATCGCAGGGCATACTACGGTCTACTGAGGGCCCGGGTTCGAGATTTGAAATCAAGTGCCATCGTTTAACCAGGGGTCGGCTTTGAGCCATCGCCTCATGGGGGGGGGGGGGGGGGGGGGGNNGGGGGGGGGGGGGGTCGGGTGTAAGACATAAGCTTAACCGCCATCACTTCAAAAAGGGGCGAGATTAAGATATGACACCAGCTGCGTCCTTTGAAACTTTAAAAGGTTTCATGCTCTGTCGGACCGTCAAACTTTCCACCTCGACACAGTTTTTAACCTTCAATCTTCAAACGTTTGACAACTTGAAAACCCTCGAAAACTCAAACTCTCGAACTTTCATGCCGCTCAAGCTTTTAAACTTTCAAACTCTCCAAATCTTTAGAAACTTTCGAACTGTCAATTTCGCGACCTCACCTCGCGTACACTTATCAAGGTGTCCAAGCTTTCGAACTCCAGCACCTTTCAAGAATTGAAATGTTGAAACGTTCAAACTTCAAGCTTCAAGCTTTGAAACTCCCAAACCTTCGAGTTCGAACGACATCGCTCGGGACACCATTCCTAATGGCGACAAGTCCTAGTTGCGTGCGAGCACCAGAGCATCCACGGCGAAACACGAATAACGTCCATTTCTAATTCTGTGGTATTACACCCGCAACCATGCCAAAACCCTAAGTAGGCCGCATCTGCCAAAGGATAACCGTCTGCGTTTTCAGTACCTGTAGCTGCTCCTTCTTCACCCTGAGCCCTATGCCTCGGAGTCCTGAGTAAGTTCTATCTGATTCTATCGTGCTTCTGCATTGTTGGCACCGCCGCTGCCTCCCCCTGCGGCGTCATGCGTCATGGTTGTCGGGCAGTTACTATAGTATTCCTATGCGCTTTGGAGGTGTAAGATTCACACCGACTCCTCTGACCGCGAACGCTAAACCACGAAACTTGGACCCGAAAAACCTTGTGGAGAACTGGGACTACAGGGTGGTGCATCTCGCGAGAAAGATCGTGGCAGCAGGGATTGAAGAAGGCCGTGCATGGGCTTAGAGTAGAGCTATGAGTTTAACATAGTTTGATGCGTAATTAAACCGACCCTGGGCTCCAACTCGTTTCCGATGGCGAGGCCCATGACGTGGTCAGGGCCAACCATCTCGAGGAACTCCTGCCAGCAATAGACGATGAGGTACACAAGTTGAAGGAAAGGGCAAGACGATACAGGACTCTCCTTGGTCCACGACCAAGTCTTCTCGTCGTCGGCTAAAACCTCATAGCAGGACACCGGTTGAAGCAGTTTCGGGTGGCAAAGCATGGACTGCTGCTTCTGCATTGGCTCGTGCGATTTCCAAAGCTCATAGGCTCTAGGGGCTCTGGCCACCATCTTGAGGCTCCCTGGGACGCAAATAAAGTCATCCTGTTCGGCGAAACCTTAGATTACCCAGATGCCGACAGGCTTCACAAGTCACCGGTGTTCCGACCAGAACCTTCACACCGTGGGTCCGGACAAAGTCCACGAGGCCCTTGCCGCTTTGCTGATAAATTTGCCGCTTGGGTTTAGGGCGACTCTCAGTCCGCATTGATAGACAGCAGTGACGAAACATCATCCTACGCAGAAGCAAACGCGACGAGCTTAACACCTACCTGCACACGAGCATACAATCAGGCCTCCTCTGGCTCCTGCACCACAGAAACGACGTCATCATCATCATCATCAACATCNNATCAACATCATCACCATCATCGTTATCAGCAGCAACCTCGTAATCGTCAGACGCTCCACCATCACTGTAATGTCCAACGTCATCGTCGTCACCATCATCATCTGGATCATCATGGGCGACCCAACAGCACCTGGCTTTTCAGCATCATCACCAGCAGTAGTGGCAGCAGTGTCGTCGTCAACAACACGGGATGTACGCCANNTCGCCGCCCCGAAAGGTCGTGCAGTTTAAGGAACGCGTGCGACTGGAAATGTGGTTTCGGCACAAAGAGACTTTAAACCAAACTGTTTTCTGGGCACATGCATGTGGTCATACTTTGCATGTGGGGGGGTAAGTGAGAGGCACAGCAATGCAA